CCCTCATCTTCGACGATTCAGTGGGCCCGGGGCCGCTAGGTTAGCCACTCCTATCACTGCCAATGGTCCCTACCCTACCATCCCGAAATCCTCCCCAAAACTTTCCAAATTTCACTTTTGCAGTTTTATCCCTAATTATCATTACTGTATTATTTTCACCCACTTTGAAGCCCCGTGTTGCCCAGCTCGCCCTGTTTTGCATAAACATCAAGTGAAATAAAAAAAATTTATAGTCCATAAGTAGATTGTCGGAATTCCATAAGTACAACTGCCTACTGATAGACATACATACACAATACAAAAAAAAATTGCAGAAATTTGGCAGAATCATGAGGAGGCGTATAGAATTTGTACGAATGAAAGAATTTCTGGTAACTGGGCTGTGAACTAAAACGACCACTGTGCAATTTCCAACAACACACTAATTACTCTGGGCATCTTGGTAGTTTACAACAAATCTGGACATAATAAATGGAAAAAGTATTAGGAGTGGGTTATCAAAGGAAAGGTAGGAAGAAATAAAAAATACGTGAAATAAGTTTAAAAAATAGAACCCCACAAATACACTGAATAGAATAAATAGAGTTTTTTAGAGAGATATCCTAAAGTTCTATGAACTGGCAGGTTTGACCGTTTACAGTCACATCTGTTATCGTGATACTGCCGTGATATTGAAATGGCTCCGATGGACGCTCTGGATTTGTCCACGAAATCTGCAACAACTTTGTTTTACTGTATTCAAAAAATAATACTATTTAGTGATCCTTCAAGATAGAAAAGGTAAAAAAAGACTAGAAAGAAAGATAGAAAGACCAGGAAGGGTTAACACAACAAAACATTCCCGTGAGGGAATGTAAAAAGCCTAGAAAAGACATTCGGAACTCAGGTAGCAAACAAAGCAGACGCTACCCGTAATGGAAGCAAACGCCGCACTTCATGGCCATCATTGTTATCATTCACCACATAACCACTTCCTACCTCTAGTTATCGCTGTTTATTCTTAAGTATTATAACAGGATCATACTCCTCTTGAATTCCCGACTGGTTTCACTCATACCGTCCAGAACTAGATCTAACTCGGCTGGTCGACCATAAATGCCTGCCGGCCCCCTTTTTTCGCTCTACCTACCATAACCGTATTTCACTATTTCTCCCGTGGGCTAATTATTTTCCCTATTGCCAGCGCTAATATTCCCTACGATTATAAACCCTTCAATTGCTTTGTTTCAAGGTTACCGAGATCTCATTCAAAGCTGTTCGCCACTATTCTCCCAGAACGAACGCAGATCGGGAAAGGGACTTGAGATTCTCGTTCGAATCCGTTTTCGAGTCTTTTATGCAGTAAAGGCGGGACTATCACTTACAGCTAAGTAAACCTGACCTCAACCTCTCCTACCGTACGCCCTCATTAATCATACAAGATACCTGTTTGCAGTGCTCAATGTCTGTTTACTGTAACGACCATTTGACGTACCCCCTCTTCACGTTCTGATTGGTGTGACCCGCGCCGCGGACCCAGCCGGTCCAAAGAGCGGGTAATCGCCTATTGACATGTCGCGGAGGTTCCCTTTCAAAGGAGTCAGTTGTTACTCTGTACTTAGTTTATGCGGCCGATTTTTCTTTCAAGTAAAGAAAAGAGGACTATTTACGCCATGCAATCGGGGAAGAACGATAACCAATGTTTGTGATGTAATCTTAATTCGGAACGCGGAACTTCAGAAAGCAAACTCGTACTTCCCGAAAGGATTTTCTTTCTCCTTTCGATCATTTTGGAGATTCAATGTAACTATTCTCATTTCCTACTGACCCTCCCTTTCCCTCTCTTTCCTTTAACGTTCATCCAACCCTTGACACGCATAACGACCACTCTAACGAGAATTTCACACCTGCTGCCTTACACCCACCTAATTGAACCAATGTGATCAAAACCAGTAAGCACGCCATTCAAGTGAATTCTGTTCAAAAGTGAATATTCAAAGATGAACGACTCAATAAAAGATCACTACGCACTATCATCAAATATCATTAACTATAAGGAGAATCACCGAATGGGGGTCCGATTCTAGGCGACATTCTCACACAAACCCCATTCATTTCCCAAATAGGGTCAACCGAGGAGCATGACAAAGGCGGGTTCCATCGTAAGGCACGAGCACATATACACGCCAGCTAAAATTTATGGCAAAAATCTTTACCGTCTCCGATCTGATCTCATTCTTGATGGCCTCGATTCGGAGTCTCTTCTCGTCGTTCTCGCAGAGCTGAATCTGCTGGAGACCTTCTGGGTGACTCGTACCGCCCGCAATGAATGCCTGTAGGAGGAAAATGGTCATGATTGCTGAAGAAACCACTGAAACAGATCGGAAAGTCCGAATCCCACAAGACATGACCCACTTTCTCCTTCACTGTTCCGTCCTTGCCCGGCTCCATTATCGATGTCACATGACCTGTAATGAATCGTTGAACATTCCCCAACTACGCGCTCAATAACAGATTGTCACCATCACACCAACACACTACCGAAGGTGTCATAGATCGGCTGATGAAAAAAACGTTCGCTCGTTGCGCTGCTGGCGCCCCACGCCGCATCCATGACGCATTTAGTGTGTTCTATGACGGCAGAGAAAGGGGCGCCAACTATAATTACAGTAGCGTGGCGCATGTAAACGAGCGAACCAGCGCCACGCGGGGCCGATGGCCTTGACGTTAATCAAATTTGAGACACCACACACGCGATAACACCTACCGTAGTCATTAAATGATCAAAAAATGACAAGGTGTCCAGTACAAGTGCACATTATAAACAGACCTTCTCATATCACAAAAAACCTTTACATTCACCTACCAACTAGGTAATCCTGCTCCGTAAGCTGTCGGAGCATACGTTGATCACCTACGGCCACCGCTGCCTCTGACGCATCTACTGAACACTCGCCGGTCTGTTCTGCATCATCGCCCTCTTTAGTTTCTTTTACGGCGCCTCGCTTCTTGTCACCAGATGGTCCAGCTTTGTCCTTGGAAGACTCCTGAAATGGGAACGCATAAAATACGAGTGAAGAAAGATTACTGTGGGTAGAGGAAATCGAAAGGGTAGTCTCGTATTGCTGGAGATCTTTCGGCTCCTAAAGTGTCTCCCCACCCTCGGATGATTAGAATTCAGCGTCGACGACGCTGTAAAGCCACTCCATCATCGCCTCGCTGTCGACTCATTGCTGTCGCTGTGATCGCAGGGTGAAATAAAAAAAAAAACGACGAGGTGCACGCGCTCACAATGATGGAGGGATGTATTCGATTTGTATCTCTAGACATTTGAAAAATTATATCAACCTTTCCAATGACATTTGGTCGNATTTGGTCGGTTCAGTCCTTTTCAGTCCTTCTAACTCCTTTAAAGCCCAAATATCGAAAACTTTTGGAAATACAAATATTTTCGAGTAGTCTCGTTCCAAAACTCCCGTATGATAGATCTCCCTATACACGCGATCTGCCGAACAAGTGGTAACGATACTGAAAAGGAAACCTGATGCTTTAGGAACTGAGAGGACCATTATAAAGGGGAAAGGGAATCGAGACGGTGGGAAGTGACCACTGCAACGAGAGTGGTAAGAAAGAGGAGAGGGCTCTACAAAACCGTGAAACTCGGTTCAACATATTCCCTTCAGGACTTTGTGCCGAAGTCCTGCCCAAAATTCGCTCAAAAAAGTGATCATTTGCGCAAAACATTAACATAATATCCTAACCGATCCTCGAGGTTATGGTCTTGATCCAAACGAGAGAAACAAAGAAATTGTGAAATGAAACTGTTTCTTCAATCGAATTTCGATGATGAAGTCCGAGAGCTGTATATCCGAACACCTTTAAACAATACTAAAGCTGAAAAAGTTCTGGTCCTAGACCCCTGAACTTTTACTGTTGATGTTTTTGAGATGAAAACACCTCGTAAGATTCCAGTGTGACCGACTATTCATTCAAACGTGGAGTGCTAAGACTACACCACCAGGGCGTCTCGATTTCTGGCCAAATATCATCCGAAAATCGCTGCGACCGAGCGGAAGTTAGGCTCCACTGCGCAATCCTCATAACAAATCTACATTTTCAAAAGTACCAGAGTAGGATGAACCAGATCTTTCCTTATGGGACACAATACGTTCAGAACATAAAGCGAACTTCCCTTCGCCCAACTCCTTCCTTCATTACCATTTTGCTCATTCCATGGCGAACAATGAAATCCGCTCTATTCCCCAATTACTAAGTTTAAAACTTCCAAAAAAAAAGTTATCGAAAAAGAAGGTCGAGGATCCCATCGCTCTCATCTTCTAAAATCTGCTAGACCACGTGCTCGTAACTCGGAAACCATGATAAGAAAAATTATAGGGACTTTTACGTCTCCCACATTTTGGTCAGCTGAAACTCAAGCGGTAAAGAGAACACTTGAGATAATTTACAACGAATTTCAACAAAGACGGAACCACGGCTTCAAAAACGCTGTCTTTACCACAAGCTCTGTCACTGTCACTTTCACCTCATAGAACCAATTGATAGGTTTTCGCACGACCTTTAGAAGCGGACGTCTGATCACTCTCCACTCTTTGAGTGCCTTTCTTTTCGGCCCACTAATAGCTCACCAAAATCGTCCGGGTCAAAAACACTGAATAAATTATGACGACTGACTTCATGAGTCATTCATTGTAATAGCTTTGTGACATTCAAAAACATCTATGATTCTGAATAGCCGTGGAATGTTGGCACGCGTCCAAACTCCTCCCCAACCATGTGTTATGGGAATCCCTCTGCCTCATTTCGTTACCCTCTGCTCACGTAAGTGGCAAGGGTTTGCGTGTCTACTGAATTCATGCCTAAATAGGTATATAAATAAATAAACACTTGGTGTATACACTCCCTTGAAACTTCTCCTCTCAACCGCAGTAATTGCTCATGCGGAATGACACGCCCGAGCAATTACTAGACACCTTCTCACGAACAAAGTGGTCAGCTGGAAACAGCTAGAAACATCAAACAACTACTAGCTATCCCCTAAGAAGTACCTTGAAACTATATTTGATATTCAGTGATCGTCAGCAGCTATTTTAAAAAGTTCCAAGATGGGAAAGAACCAAATGTTTAGTCTGGACAGCTACAAAAACCTAAGCGGTCAGTCTCTGGATCAACAACCTGGAAAACGACCGTATCCCTATCAATCTTGGCATCTGGCCAATGTTCCACATTTGACTAATTCGGTAACCTTGTATGAAACATAATTGCACAGCTTCTGCTCATTATTCCAAGAGGTTTTTAACGACATCAACGGGGATTACTCATCAGCCCGCCTCCACGGGCTAGAGAACGCTAACGGAGCGCTGTAATTGACAGCAATTGGTTGTTCTTTGACGTATAAAGACCAGAAAGCTACGTTATCAACGAGCAATTATCATAATAACCGATTCCCGTTGCAAGCAAATCCGTCTACACCCATCGGAACCCAAAAAAGGTAGATAATCCAAAATCATTCATATTTAGAATGCCATTAGTGCAGGAAATCTAGTAAAAAGGTAGTGGAAGAACTTAGAAATTCCTTAGCCAATAATTGGGCAGACACAAGCAGGAATGAATTCTTTTTTTGCAGATTTTTTATTTGAAACAACATTTTCCGAATAGCTCAGATCTAGAAGGTCTAGAGGGACCTGGAAGAGCATTTGAAGCATATAAGATCAGAAATGAATGCTGAAGGCGTAAACCTTCACTGTTCTTTCTAACCGAGCAATTACAAGCTGCCAAGTTTGANAAAAAGAGCGAGCTATCAACTTTCAGGAACTGGTAATCGCAACAACAGCGAGTCGAACGAATCTTGCTTGGCGTTAGTCCAAACCCAGGTGCAACATTGATTTCTTATGCATGCTGCAAGCTGGTCCGACTCTTGAACCTGGCAAGGTGGCCGATGATTCTCTCGCGTATGGCAACCAGCTGACTCGTAATGTCCACATCGACGAAGCCAGCCGTCGTCGTGCCACCCAGCCACATTGCCCCTGTGAGCATTCCACAAACGGGGGCGTGGCAAACGACCGCTAGCCTGCGCGTCAGCGGCGACGACGATGACCGTATCAATAACGGCGGCGTCGGCGTCCGGTTACGCACCTAATGACAAATCCGATTAACCAGGTCATTTACGCTGAGCGTTGGCTGTGAGACTGCTGCGATTCTCCGTAACCGGAAACAAATTGGTATGACAACGTGTCGTTGTCGTGCTACGATACGCCACGACACTTAAACGACCACTATAAATCACTTCAGAATCACATCCACATCCCAGTCGTACACACTCATCTTACTAGTTTGTATATGAGTAGCTAATAAGTCATCTTGAAGGTCAGAAAGTAATTTTGTCGGCCGTACTCATCATTATTGTATATTAGCAGTTCCGAATTCGAACCATCCGAACACTTGAATCAATAGAGCCTTTGGAAAAAACAATAGACAGTGCATCACCATCGAAAACAAAACGATTTATCTTCTTTCTTTTTTTATCTTAGCGCAGAATATAATGCGCGAGAACACCTCCAGTCAGGCACGTTCCTTCCGCTTACTTCCCACTCCTCGTTCCCTCAACGCTGTCAACGTACGATTTCTTCGTGCTTCCTCCCGATGACGATATTTCACGCCCTATTTCATGCAATCTATCGAAACGCCTTTGTAGTGTTCCACCATCCACCATTTACCTCCTCGCTCCTCTCAGAACATTTCTTAGGGCAACGCAAAGCCTCCAACAACCAGACTTTGCCTTAATCTGCTTCCAGCTCAAAAAAGAGATTACATTGTCATCAGGCATTGAACCAAGATCCGATAAGTGAATTTGCAAGACGTCCAGCCGCTACGTAGCGAACAACTGGCTCGTAAGAACGCAATTTGTGAATGAGACGGAAACTAAAAGCATCTTTATACGCACGCTGGCAGATGGGAAAATCTCCGCACAAAATAAACATCCAACAATAGGCGTCTCGGACGTGGAAACCAACAAAAGGGGGCTCTGCTGCGATTCGCTCTCAACACCAACACTAAGACCGCTCCAATTGAACTCTTGAAACACCCCCTAAGTATGTAGGGCATATGCCAATCAAAGTCAAACATCTCAAAGAAATACAAAATAAAACAAGAAGAACGAGAAGGGGTAGCGGTGATAGGAAGGGAAGGGGAGAGAATCAGACTAAGGCCGACGTTAGTGTGTGGGAACTTCCCACAATCTTCCATCATGCTTTTCCCACGACGCCTCTCGTCTCTAGTCTTTGGCTAAGCATCACGCCGTCTACACTCCATAGTCGACTTTTTCGGACATTGAAAAAACAATTCCATCACAGGAGATGATTATCGAGAACTACCGAACTTACAAACTTGTTTTTCCTTTTTCATTCATATCTACCTTGAACTGATTCGAAAACACGAATGATTCGTTTCCCTTCACATTAAATCGGCAATATATCTTGGCAAAGGCGCAACTGTCTTCGAGTCACGGTGGCCCACGAAAAAAAAAACGAGACTGATAACATAAACGCGGCGCCTCTACAAACAACACTACTGTAGTCGATGGACAAACAAAGAACCATATGACTCCAAAAGGCAAAGCGGCTGGCCATATCTGAAATTTCTTCCTTTAAAAGCTCAAACGTCTCGTTATGTCGATCTGAAGAGAAGAAGCACCAGAAGAAACTAAACGCCTTTTTTCCTTATAAACTCCAACAAAAACTCGCTCTGTCAATGACCTAACTTATTTTTGCCCTTAACTGACGCCATAGAACTCAACGCCCGAGTCCTATAGCGATCCCATGAAGACCTAATGAAATCACCACAACCTAATCCTTCGATAATCCCCTTCCTTGATGTTCGTATGAATGCTCCATTAAGTGTACGCTGGGTGTACGCTGGGTGAATGCCTAATTCATTAGGCTTCGAAGCTTAGGCGCACTTCCTGCATCCGTGATCGAGGCGTGACCAAGCTTCCATTTTGAAACTAAACGCTGAAATAAGAATTAGGCCATGTAGAAAAGATCCTATAGAACGAAGTCATTGACCAAAAAGCCTTTCAGATGACTTTCCACTCCCTAGGTTCTCAAAACCCATGAACATTCTGCTGAACTAGATTCCTTCCCACAAGAATGAAATGTTTTCCCCATTCGATTTCAATTTTAACTATATAGCTTGTTTGGAAGCTACAAATAAAAGTCTGAAAAAGACGCCCGCATCACAGAACCCTAAGGACTGCTAGCAAAGTTCGCTTTCCCCACATTGCCTGCCCATTAAACCCCCATCGCTGCACTCCACCACACGACTGCGCCGTCGCAAATGTTATTATCAGTTGGCTCTCGAGACTGACAAGCATATATTTGCCGACGTGGAGATAAGCGTCGCTCTCTCTCATACATTCTCCGAGAACTTCATCTAATGAAAGTAGTGACAGAGTATTTCCCTGTACACATTGCGTTCCCAAGTTCCCATCCAATCATTTAAATTGAGTATCTCCATCGGAGATATGCCAATCAAGCTACATCAATCATGATTATCGTCTGATTTAAAAGCTCTTCATCATAGCCATAAGTAGCTATGTGCCTAATAGCACGTCAGCATCATAAAAATAACTTGGAAACGTCTCCAACTTCTAAATCCAAAGGGCAACGATCCCAAAGAACTCTGAAGCAGCCTTCAAATACGGGATGTCACGAATGTCTTCTATATTCAGCTTTGCTACACTTAGTGCCGCTTCGTTCCCGTAAATATACTATACTTATGCAGATGAAGCCTGGCTGCTGCTGAAAAGGGGTCTCTATGAATCGCATGTGTCAATAGCACATAATTGGGGCACCGTAATTAACGCGAAGCCGTATGAGGGTGCGGCACGCTCGCTAGCCGTACTTGCCTTTGGATCGGGACGACGTGATTCAGACACGGGTGTAGCTGCTTCGGCGGTATCCTCAGAGCGTGGTTCTTCACGTTCCGATGGCAGATCGGCTGCTTCTGACCGCTCATCTGACACGAAACTTTGGTCGACATCTGAGTTCTTATCATCTTTCGCTACCGTTGATGTCGACGGTGAGCCAATCTCCTCATCTGAAAGTGTAGACAGTTCTCAGTGCGAAAACTCGTACACTTTAGAAAAAATGTGGAAAATGTATGTAATATGAAAATAATATATGCACCCATAAAAAACATGAAAAAGCTCGGCTTCCCATCAAAGAATTCGCCAAATGGGAATGTCACGTACGTTCAAACCACGTGACCAAAATAACCAATCTTTATCAATAGGGTTCGTCATTGAAAAAAATTCCCAAATCTATTATTAACGTCCAGGAAAGCAAAACGTCTATTTCCAATGTGCTGACCAGGTAGTATACAGGGTATTTTTTTATCTCAAAACCCTGTTCTTAAGGAATCGCGAAGGTCAAACAGAATGCTTTCCCTAGAATAAGAATCCAGAATAGTTGGGCTCTATGTTAAGGTGACAAGCACAGCTCTTCTGCAATTCCTAGAGGGACAAGAGCGATTCAATCATGAACATGAACAATTCTACTTTCACTTAATCGTAATTGTATGGTCATTTGGAACTGCGCGCTAATTCACTCGCCGCAAATTCCGGTTGGAGAAAGGGTTCTCAAGATTTTACCCCTATAAAGTTGTAAGTAGCCTAAACTAAACTACCAAGAAACTATTTCCCTGCGACTCAGATCAGTTTCTAGGCATTACCTTGCTGACTTACTACTAGCTATCATTTCGATACCGTCGAATTCATCGAAGTGAATGGGGCAGAATTTGAGGTTTTCAGCAATCTCAATTACTCAACCCCATTACTCATCTTGAGGTCCCCATGTTCTCTGCTCGCAAGGAATCTCTGTCGAATAGCCTACTAGAACAACTGAATTCGATTCCCATTGAAATCTCTCACTCAGGTTACATCTTTTGGACAACAACTGCAATTCCTTAATAGTGGGTGAAGCTTGATTTCCTACAATAATCGGAGGTTTTCTTCGAGTGGACCGTATTGACGTCAGAAAGAGACATAGTCGAAGCATCCACGGAAGGAGTCGATACTTGGTAATAGCATTATCACTGTTCCATTCTGAGTAGTCTGGCCACAATGAGTAGCCTTGATAAACAGAGGTATTATGTTCTTTATGAATGAGCTTCCATTCATTCACACGCATACATATGTAGTACAGTAGCCGCTTCGCTAATTGGCTACCGCTATGCGTGGATCGATGTCAGGTCGTCTTGGCTGGAGATTGACTTATGGTGGCTAGATGACGGGAACGCAGCATAATTCGTAAATGGGCTAATAGCGTAACGATCGGAAGGCGCTGACACACACAGGTTGTGAACCCGATGCGAAAGCAAAAACAGATAAACGCCAATTGATTATTTGCTTACTCCAGAACACGTGATGCGAGAATTACTCAAGTAAACTAGGAAGTTTTGGTAAAGCAGTAGAGGAAACGATAAGGAAATCTCAAAGCAAGCAGTTGAGCGATGCCCTTTCTGCAGGCCACCATTATAAGCCATAAATCATACCCGGTGTAAAGGTCACGCAAATGCTTACTAGACCCCATTTCCATCTATCTGGACAATATAACAAATTAATTGGTAGTAATAGCCTTTTCATTAGAGGATTAAGTCACGGTAATGGCAATCATACAGCTCCCCTTCTAACAACGCAGCGACTATAGACTGCAACTTTGCACCTTCAAAACAGCTAGTTGCAGAAAATTCATAGCAAACCTCTTTTATGAACAAAAACAACAATCAAAATAAACCTCAAATCATCAATGACATCAGTTGAACTTACCATGTTCGCTGCTTTCGCTGCTCTCATCTCGTATGTCACCACCGGCCAATCGTCGCGGTTTTTTCTTTGGTGGCGTGGTCGTCTATGAAAAGAGAAAACGATGAGCCATTCAAAGGTCACACCTGCCATCAAAATCCTATCACCTCCGACTTTTTGCTTGTACTCCCACTTGAACTTCGTTTCTTGTTCTTCTGCTTCTGTTTCTGGAACTCCTCAAAAAGTCGATCATCCAAAACATTCTCACGAGGTTCCCAAGTGTTGTGTCTGCGAAACAACTACGTTGTAATAATAGTGAGAGAGATTCAGAGAGAAAAGGATAAGAGTATGGCGAACGAAGCATCGAATTTCAGACCTTATATTACAAAAAAGCGCAGCCAAAGATTTCTATGCTATGCTATGGATAAACACGGAGACGATGTCCCTTTCCACATTGAAAGTGACAACCAAGGGCTTCGCTAATGATAGAGTATGCTAATGCAATGCGAGCATAGACATCGGCGCTGCTAGGCACTTAGAATGGCCCTCGTACTATATAGTCTGCCTCTGAAGACTGAAGCTTAGAAAAAAACAGTTTCTAATAATTTCCAAAAATAATTACAATTATTTTACACCTTCTCGAGGGAGAAATGAGCCCGATAGTCTTCTAATGGGCATTGAATAATACAATTTTAGAATTCAACTCTCGTGAGATGCGACCTGTTCATGCTCACGTTATACACGCTCTTGTGATTGGTGATTCAAATTCATAGAAAGGGGTGATCACGTTGGTAACTAGACCCGTGATCATTAACTTTAGACTTCTTTCCTAATCCCCATAAAAGAAACTGCGCTAGCGTTATTTGAGAAGTGTTTTCGAAAGAGTTTCCATGAGTAAATAATCAATAACTATCCTAAAAATTGGCGAAATCGCCAACAAACTGTCCATCTAACCGGGCCTTTGCCCTGAAGTCGGCCAGTCTTCTGTTTGGCGTGCGTACGTAGCGCATCATTTATAACACTGATGATCGCTTACAAGAAGCCTTATCTATCCGTTCATATACTATATAAAGATTTCATTAGAATAATGAAACCCAGAGACGTCACACTTACTTGCTACAACCCATAACAACGTTAAGAAAATAACGGCTTCTAATTTTCAACACCACATAATACTATGTCAAAACACGGTATTATCCGGTTCCGATGACGCTACAGTTCCAAAATACACACGGAAGTATTCGTAACTCCCGGGCGTATAATCCTGCACGGTACTATAACGACGCAAGATGTGATTATCGTATAAGCGGCATGTATAATATAATCGAGGAATTATAATCTATTACTAATGTTAAATAACAAAATTTGATGGTTAAGTTAATGCCACTGTATGCAATCAAGATAAAGAGAACAATGAGTAAGGTCACATCTTAGGACGCTATTGTCAAAGCAGGGATGGCCGAAAAGCAGATTGAAACCTACGCTTCGGATGCGACTAAAGAAACGATAGAGTAGGCTGAACGAAGTCGAGCATCCAAGAGAATAAGACGTAGACGCGAGAAGACGAATATACCTATAGCAGGTTAATTCCCCAAAGCACATGGTTACTTAGAAATCACGATGGACCCACCATCACAGTTTTAAAAAAGCACCATTCAGAGCTTAAAACTTCCAAAGTATTTTGAAGGCACTTTTAACTGAAAAGCTCACTCCTCTCATCACAAGTCAATGAAGACCGTACTAGAAACCCTTGGAACTACGGATAGATTTCGCCGAATTGCTTGAAACAGAAAACCTGCTACACTACTTTTTGTATAGTTTACTCCATATGGCTTCTATCAGTGTTCACATTCGAGTCATTTACCACATTAACATTTATTGCACACCCAACTTTTCAGAACGCCCCTCAAAACGATGACGACATTCCGCAACGATGTTCAGAGAACGCAGAGCGGTCAACGAGTGCAGACAGACGGGTGGGTGCAAGGTCAGAGACGCAGCAGAGGCTGGCTGGTGCAATTCCCGTGCGTAGGCAAATGCTTGGCTGGCTGGGGCGCATCGATCAACGCTGCTAAACGTCTATGGGCTCCTGGACATTCAGTGTACTATATAATTTACTGCTAGATTACTAAAATCAAAAAGGGACAAATTAGGCGAGCAGATGGCAAAAAATAGCGTGAGTTTAACACTTAAGTAAGAAGAAGCAGGTCGAGACATCGCAGCGTTCCTTACTCTTCGCTTTGTAACCGTAACAACTATCTTTATAAAGGCATAGCCCTTCACAAAACTTACATTCACGTACCCGCCAAATGCTCAAAAGTTAGAAATCCTCCAAAATTCGAAAAGAAATAGGTTAACAAAAAGAAAGAGATGAAGAGCATACGGGAACCCATGAGAAATTACACAGCTCAGTCACCGAATGGCAGGTGCGCTGCTGCAAATCACATGAACTGAACAATGCGATTTCGTATGGAATTGCATATCGATCCCATTCATTATGAAGGCACGAAATTTTTGCAAAATGNAGTGCTTAGTATCTAAACCATAATAAACAGAAAAATAAAGAACTTCACAAATTGAGGAGACCAGACCAAAGACAACTAGCTGATTCTGGTCTTCCTAACGTCAGTTACGTATTCGCCGAGCACAAAGAAGTTATTTGCGCTCGAATAGCGCGATCAAACGTCAAAAGGTCCAACAGTTTCCTTTCACAAATCGATCACTAGCTAGCTGCGACCAAGTCAATAATGTCAACGTTAGGGCTTTGTTCATTCCAAACAAGACCCATTCCAATAAAACAGAAGGAAATCGACATAAAACAGCCAACTATAGAGAATAAAATATGAAAAAATAGAGAAAAGACACTCACTTATTTCCCCATCCCTTCCATTTCACCAGGTACTCGATTTTGCCCTGAAAATCTCGTCTTAACTATAGGTTTAACCAATACGAGTAAGTGAAGCTTATCACCGATTACTGGCTCAGATGGCCCTGGGTAAGCTTGCAATAAGCTACCACTTCCTCCAACAAGAGATAATAGCAACTTTTCCTGATTGAACCATTTTTAATCAGGTAACGGGTACGATATCATTTGATACATAAGGAAGTTGCATTTATCAGAAAATCTTTGATAAAAATGTTTTTCATTTGATATTGAAGTAGCTTACTTGTTAACATAGTCTTCAGTAAATTGTTTTCTCCTTTAGGAACAGATTAAATCAAGAAAAAAATGAATAGGAGCAAATATAACGCTGCGGAGTGATGATGAGATGTGACAGGTCGAAAACGCTGATAAATGGGTACGAACTAGTTTCTGCAGTAGGATCGCACACAGGCACAACATAACAACGGATTTCAATCGATTTTACGCTGCAACAAAGTCATAGAATGGAACAACAACGTGAAAGGGAACGAATAACCATTGTATTTTGGAATATAAGAGTATGTTACGACTCCTATATAGAAGCAAATAAAGACGAAGACCGATCAATAACACCCGCAGGAACCCGCAGCAGCGCACATGAATAGCAAAATGTGAATACAAAATGTTGTGAGGTGCCATGCTGTTGTGCTTCAAAAAGCTGGGTAATGCCTGAACTAACTCAAAACCATATCCTCTCCATTAGCCCCATTGGCATTGTGCCAACATTTTTTGCGAAGCGATTGAGGCCACAGTTAACTAGTTGAGTTGCTAAAGAGAACCATCAATGCTCGAAAAACATAAAATTCACGAGGAATATTTTAAAAAGCAACTATTGCACTATAAACGGTGATGGCAAGCGGTGTTCACCGAATTTCTGAACATAATGCTTCGATTTAGCTGACTTTTTACGACTGGAACTATGGAAAACACGGATGGAAAAGAAAAAAGAAAATCTAACTGAAACCGTCGAAAAGAAGTTGTGACTATAAAAACACATAAGATGAAATACTCCAGCTGAATGTTGAAAAAAAACGTTCACAACTGAAAAGAAGAAAGAACTGCAGTGAGACACAGCTCGAATTTGTTTAAGTGAAAATGTTAATGTCTTAGAACGATGGTTACGATGATAAAAATTAATTTATTCAAAAGTTGATGCTATTTAAATAACGAAGCTATTGGTATGATAGGTAAAGAGATTCAAATCCTAAATAAAAACTTATAACTTCTTAAGCACCCAGAAAAGTTAGAGAAATTTTGAAATACTCAATAAAAATAATAAAATATTGAAATAGATTTAAAACAAAACATTGGAAAGAGAAATGCCGTGCTTTAAAGATGAGACGATAAAATGAAAAGCACATAGAATTTCGGAAACCTTGAACTCTCGAGCACCGCCAATCAATTATGACACATCAACATACGAAGGAAATACTAGTAATCCGAGGATCGATATTTCTCATTACAAATATGAAGAATCAAGAAAGATTATGTTAAATCTGGTCTCGATAGACATGCTACTCCAAAAAAGTACGAAAAAGATGAAATGGATAATAGAACGAGAAATATTGCAAACCTTGCGTTTTCGCTCTTTCAAAAGGGCTTCAACAGCAAAAACATTGCCTTCGAGAGGTTCCATGGCAGACGTTAACCACACCGGACGTATTTAGCCAAATCACTGCGCCAAAATCAGGCGCCGACACTACCAGCCCGGCGCGACGACGGCGGCGACTGCGGTCGCGACGATGCAGCGCCGCGCGCGATGCTCGTCGCGGCGATCGCGACCTTCGCATTCTGCGCCTCTGCAGTCGCCGTTTCCCTTCCGCTCACACTCTGCTTGCCCTCCGCCGATAACGATCTCTAATCATTACTGCATCGTACCACCACATACACACACCGTCCCACGTGGATTACCTTCCAGTGGAAAATAATGCCAAAATGGCTTGATTTCATCCTCATGGAGTCCCACACCCAATAGTATGAACATCGATCCCCAAGAGAGTTTCTGAGACTAATGTTTCTCTGCGCTTCTCATGCAGTCGTAACCCATCCGAGTAACCCTTATCATCGCCGGGTGACACTCAGCTGTGTGCTGTTATCGACCCGCCTCGAAATTGGAGAGCTACACGCCACATACACCACCCAACCCGGACGGGGGAAATTGCGTTGACGCTGTCGTCGAGGGCTATTCTCGAACCACTGACCCGTATCGCGTGGGGTTACTTTAGAGAGAATGATTTCCCTGGGTACCGATTACCAGAGAATGGAGTTTCTGATGTTTTATGATGAGAAAGTGTGATGGGAAACCATGAGATCGTTACCCAAAGGGGATCCGGGGTTCTTTTGCTGATATTATTGGGGCCGGTTTGCGAGCGCGACGTTCACTGGGTGCCGTAGATGACAAGATAAATATTTGAAATGAGCCGAAATGAAAGCTTCGTGCATGGGACTAACAAAAGCACATTTTATAAGCACAGCTGTCCTGAGGCGGTTCCCCTGGTTGATGAGAACTTACACCATGGGTCAAAAGTGGTCAAGGACTGGCCGTGGTCCATCTTTGATGTTTGTAAAGCGGAACGAAATGATGGACAGGGCCGTATGGACGTTCGGTGTTGGCAATTGACCGTACCCCTCTTTATACGGGACGGATCGCCGTCGTCTGCTTGTGCTTACGCCGCGCTCGGCGTCATCACGTCGGGCCCATCCACTCGATCATCGCCTATATTCTCTCTCTCATTACGATAGTACGACCTGTTTCGTTACCGTAATCCTCAGTGGTGCGGCGGGTGCAGTGGCGGCGACAACGGCGATGGCCGGCCGTGAATCGTTATCTTATTTGCAGAGGCTCGCGCGCAGGGCTTGTCTCTTCTATCTGAGTGTCTCTTCCTCTTTTTCTCTTTCATTTCTCCTTTTCATATCCTTTATCCATTCTAATGAGGTATCCTTTGTCAGAGAACTGCTCATGACCGTAGTATGAAATAGCGTTTCAACGAAATTATTCGATTCATGGGGCGCGACGTACGCGGCAGGGGGTGCAAATTTGGATTCTATGAATGCAGTCTGCTCTCCGACAGGAATGCGGCTGAAAAGAATGCTGATTGATTGGCAGCAGAAATTCCCCCGAGCCGTGGGGGTGATGGTGGTCGGTCGGTCGGGCGCTGGCGGGTGGTGAATCGTCGTCGGACGAGTGAACACTTATCGTTGGAGTGCGCAGGACGACGAGGAAACGCGCCGCCCGACTACCGTAGCATGGGGACATTTGGTAGTGGGCGTGGCTGATGGCTGGATGTTGATTGGTTTCCGTCGAGCGTCAGACTGCCAGAGGAGCGAGACAGTACACTACCGATGGAGAGAACCCGATTGCGCTGACAGGGAGCGTGCGGCTGCGGCGCGGAACACATACTGTGGCGGCCCTGCTCGGTCGGTTCGACATCGTTGGCCATGTCGGCTGCAGACTGCTCTGGCCCCAATCGCCCTCCTACTCCCATTTTGCCCCATCACTTTAGCGTATTATCGTTCTTATGTTCGTTTTTCATTGAAATTCCTCGTATTCCTGCTGATCTACTCATATCCTTCATCCATCCAATGGCTGGCTTTGCTGTGGGCGGACCCACCAACTGGTCCCGCCTCCTGGCTCTATCACTGCCCTGCTGATGAATACGTTCTTCGTTGCTCGACGACCGCGCTCTGTTTTGCCCTAGAGAGTATCGATTCGTGCTACCGTATCTACATTTAGGTTTTCCCATTTGAATGTTTTCCCATAGATTTTCGGATTACCCAGCGAGCCGATCGATCCGCATCGAATCGAATTGACGTGTTATGAGGTCCCGTTAGATGCGCTTCATTGAGCTTCTTCACTTGTCGATCGTCTCTACGTCATAGTGATCGGTGTTTTTGGGATTATCATATCTTCATGGCCTCGTATAATGCCTGATATCAGTCTGTGCCCGTATAGAACCGTAGCTACAGTGTTTCGCTCATCACATGTGACCTGTCATTTCATCAGCAGCTGGTCGTTGGGCGTTTCTTTGTCCGAGCAGCAGTGTTCATCGCTAACGCCGCTGCGCTCACTTTCACGATTGCGATTGTAAACATTTCGAACGGATTAGTTGTGATTTGAAATTAATTTTGTTGAAGGTTTCAGGTGTTCTCCTCTAGAACCCCTCCCAATTCGACCGGCCCTGGCTCCACATCCTTCTATACAATTCATTGGTGAGTTTGACTCAGCGCAGCTTTCTTATGTTCAATAGTCTGCTGGCCGCCATCGTCGCCGTCGTAGTGTAACGAACAACTACTTACACATGCGCGCGCACATTGACGTTAATACCGTATGCTGCAACGACCCGCCGCGCTGGCTGGCTCTGGAGCGCATATGTGTGTCTGTGGCCGAGTGTAAGTATTTGTGTGAGAGTGATGGCGCCGCCCGAGCGATCGTTCTTCATCGAGGTCAACAGGCGCCCGGAACTTTTTCTCGAACCGGCAAAACCCACCGTAATTATGAGGCTAGTGGTGCGATGCGGCTGCTAATCTAATCATACAGAAGAGGCATCCCTAGTGATGTGATGTCTGAGAAGTGGCGTCAAATCGAATAATTGGGTAAGTAAGACGAAAGTGTAATTTCGTTTATGCTGAGGGCAAGGCCTTGAGTCATTTCAATATTGAAGAATAGCTCTAAGTGGAACGATCTTCCCAATAAGCAGCTTCACCAGCATAGAGCATAACTAGAGAAGAGTGCCATAAGTTTTTTTCCCGAGCGATTTGTTAAAAGACCACTTTTCAGGGTGACAGTATTATAATCCACTACTTTTTCTTCCAATTTCGTTGCAAAAAGCGAGATTATATATCTCTGGAGGTCTTGAGAAGTGCCAAGGATTTCTTGGGGCCTTTCACATCACTACCTGACAACGACTACGTAAACATTCGCCCATGTTAAGGACCTCTTTGCGAAGGGAAACGGTTTTTTTTACCTATTTTCCCTAACTTTTGGTTTCATAGTAAAAAAAAAAGGGTTTTTCAGTCCCATGAGATCTGGTAGCATGAAATCATGTTACACTTGCCCCTTGCCAATGGTTTCTTTCTGTGATTCGCTCTTTGTATGACTTCCTAATCCGGAATTGAAATGTTATACAATTGAAAAAAACCCTTGGGTGTACTACTGGTTACGGAGACGCCATAATCTTACTTCACCGCTAAATAAAAGGCTATAATACAGCCCCAGAGGAACTGCCAACAGAAACTCAACCATGTAAGAAAGGGTTTTCAAAAAATTCTCTGAAAAATACCAATATAATCGCTTTAAATGTTGCTTTTTTGTGTTACTCCACGCGAAGGGTCTACATTCTGATTTTTGAGCTTCAATCTATATATAGAATGACTCCGATGAAATAAACTGACGACATAAGGGAATCCTCTGACGTCATAGACGTCTTATTACATTTTCCTACTTTGTCTTTAGATTTGATTATCACAGGGCTAAGCTGTTCGTAGAGCTTTTTCTCATTGTGAATGGCTAAAGTTTTTTTAGTGTGATATTTGCATTTAGTCTAGCACAGCAGCAATGATTTTCAATTATATCAGTCACAAAGAAAACTATCTTGGTTCCGGATTTCTGATTATTCAGAAATATCAGGCCTTCAAACAGCAGGAACTGTTCTATATCAGAGTTCACTAGTTTCTCTTATCAATTAAAAAGTGCCATGCTGAATGCCTTTATCATGAAGAATCATCGTTCTCTTTTTTCAAGAGAGAAAGTGATCCATTCATCGTAGGGCATGGTACTATGCTCATATGTTGGTGCGTTTTATTGATTAGTACTTGATTCAGAGGACGATGAGCGCGTCACCGAACCTCAAATGTGGTTTATGCAATGATTTTCTCGTCAACGCCGTCACTGTGGCTGGATGTATGCACAGCTGTAAGCGATTTTCAATAACGCTCTTATTTATTTTCATCTCTTTTCGTTTTTAAAATCGGATTTCGTTAAGTGTAGTATTACCTCGAGGTCGCACCTTGATGTAAACATGCGATACTCACTTTGCAGTTCGAAAAAAAGCGATGTATGAAGTAATTTCACCTCACGCAGTGTCATTTACAACCATATCGTAGTTTTGTAGCTGTATAAGTAACCTCCTGATCCAATAGTTCAACTTTTCTGACCATATTGCTGTTTCCACCGGAATATTTTGCTTCCATTACTTATTAATCAACCGAAACCTTTTTTTTT